AGGGTGTTGGGAGCTGGAAAAGGCTGTAGGGACCTGGCAGAAGCTGTAAGGAGCTGTTGGTTGTTTTGGAGGAGCTTGTCATGCTGGCTTTCCTGATGAACTTGGCTGTTTTCATCAGGCTCGGGGCCTTTTTGGCACGGAGAATAGCTTCAGTTCACTTTGGGGGAGCTCTGGTCCTCATGCTGAGCATTGCTTCCTGGTTCCGGAGAGAAAGAAGGTGCACAGCTCAGTCTCCTGAAGAAACTTGCACATTGACTTCCCTGACGGGAACTCAGCCATCTTGATTATCAGAGGAGCTCAGGACCTCACTGTTGCTGATGGCTGTGGTACCTTTCGGGAGAGCTCTGGTTCTTCTGAGCGTTGCCTCCTGGCTCCAGTGCAGATCCCTCAGCCTGCTAGCACAGATCCTTCATCCTGCTGGCACAGACTTTCTAGATTCCACCGCTGACCCTTGGGCCTTCCCAGTGCAGATTCGTGAAACAGGCCTGCATGAGATAGTGTTATGGGCTCTGGGCCTCCAGGTGTACTTGTGGGAGGCACTGTTATGAGCTGTAGGTCTTCAGTAGGACATTACCTCGGTATCCAGGCCCTCAGCTGGATTCCTGGTCTGTAGTGTGTGGACAAATTTCCTGCACTCTCTTTGTATATCATTCTTTGGGTGACTATTATAAATAATCTTGTAAAATATATGTCTTGTATCATATTGTTCTTGCAAAATATCCTCCAAACCATAACAATCATGAATCAAAGGCTGAAAGCCACAACTTTCCATATTACTAATGCTGTTCAGCTTTGATTAAACATTAACAAGTTTACTAACAATAATACTGGCACCAGGAATAGCACTTCTATTTTTACATTTTCTACTCATCTTTTATAACAGGAGCAAAATCTAACAAAGCATTCAACAACTATATAAATAAAAACTTTAATATAGAAAAAAAAGACAATGATGACAAAAAGAAAATGAGGCCTAGCTATACAAGCTCTAATTTTACTAGTGTACTACGAAATAAGTCATAGCAGGGTGAAGAAAGGAAGTTACAATCTTTGTCTTTTACCATTAAACCTGAAGACAAAAACAAACAAAAAAACCTGCGTTCAAACTCTGGTATGTTATTTCATTTTTCTGAGCACGTTTCTCCCACTGTAAAAGAGGCCAACAACAATTAACGTCTACTTTTGTTATGATGAGTGAATCAGATGATGCCTGGATGGAGGAGCTGAGCTATGTATTAGTCCACACTATCTCCTCATGATATGGACAGGACACTAAGTGGACTAAGTGGCAGACTAACCTGGCAGTAATGTCCAAGCAAATCTGGAAAGAACAAGATCTGGAGTATGCACATCACCATATTCTCTGGGCTCAATTTCACTCCTCCACTTTTCTCATTCTTTAGTTCCTTCTGGAAGAGATAAGTCTCAGTTCTTGTAGTACCACTGGAGCCCTATCCTTGTTAAAAACAATAGCAGAGGCCCTCTGCCTTTGACTTCTGTTTTTGTTCTTTCTTCCTTTTCCTTCGGAGCGAACCTCATTAAAATTTCTGTACTTATTTGCATCTCCTTCACCTACTCACTTAGTGTTTGCTAGTTTCTCCTTTACTTTTCCACTCACAGAGTACCTTCCTCAGCACTAAACCTCTGTGCTGGGTTGCAGGCCACTTCCTTATCACAGGATAAAGCACTTTGCATTTCTTTCTGGACACTGCTTTCCTTTTCCCCTTGATCCAGTTCTCCCCTCAACCTTCTCTTCCTCCACTCATACTTTGTAAGGACACTGTTAGGGCACCTTCCGCCCCCAGCCAAATATAGCTGGCTTAGGGTTCTATCCAGGCTATTCTGCCTTTCTCACTACATATTCCTGATAAGTACACAATCCTCATTGATATGAGTTTCACAAATATGGTTATGACTTTCAAATATACATTTTCATCTAATTTCTAACAATTTTACTTGATGTCATTCAACATCCACTCAACAAACACATTAAATACTTACTCTGGCAGGCACTGGTATAGGCAGAGGATAGAAAAATGTATAATCAATAATGATAATTCAGTGAGCCTATAGGCCAGTGGGCAGACAGATACCCAAAGAGTTGTGTACAATACAGTGTGAGATATAATTGTAAGCAGGGGAAGAATCTTCATGCTCCAACCTAGTGGAGGAGTCTGAGGATGGGGTAAAGAAGTGAGACAGGAAAACTGTATCGATATAGTTTCCTCTACTGCTCTGTTAAACTCAGTGAAATGACAGTGAAACAACAACAAAAAAGCCTTTAAAAACCCACTAAAATAATCTAGTGAGCACAGAAAAAGTACTGCATGTCCACACCAACATACCCTCAAAACAACCAAGACAATGTAAATGTCTTTAGAAAACTGCTATTAAAAAAGAAGGAACTCTCAAAAACGAAAAGGGCAGCTCATAGAAATTAAAAATCTGGTAAGAGAAATGGATTTTGCACAGAAGGAGCAAAAAGCAGAGTTTAAAGAAACTAGCACTCTCCCTTCCCAGGATGCTGTACCTCTCTCAATTAGGGCCTTCCCAAATGCTGTTCCCTGGACCCAGGGTGCTCCCCATGGGTCTGTCACTTTACTGGAGTTCAAACGTACCTTTTAGGACACTTCCTTGACTAGCCCTATAAATGGCACTCCTGTTTTTCTTATTTTTCTAATGGCACCCTTTTTAATTAATCTGCTTCCTTGGAGCTGCCTTATCTTTCCACACAGTACCTAGCATCACACACTGTATTCATTATCACCCTTTTTCTTTCTGTTCCTTTCTCCCTCTCTTACTTCTTTAATTTATTGTCTTTTCTACTACAATATAAGCTCATCAAGGAAACTACCTGATCCGCATATTGCTATATTCCAGTACTAGGAACAGGGCCTAGCACTGAATAAATACTTACCTAAGATAAATATATCATTTATCTAAATAAATAAAAATAGCAAAAGTAGCACAATTTACAGAAATCTGTAATAAAGCAATTAAAGCTGCCTTAAGAGATCATGTTATACCAAGTTAGCATTAAAACACAAAATAGTATTGAAAACTGTGATGTACCAAGATTCATAAAAATGTAAACCATCTGACCCAGTGATTCCTCTCCTGGAAGCCTATTCTTTAGAATGCTTACAGGAAACCATCAATGGCGATCATGACTTTTTTTCCCCAACTGTGGTGAAATTAAACATCCCCAAAGAAACAAGTGCATTAGAATTTCTACAAGAAAGTACAGTACTGAATGGGGTGCTTCTTTTCCCTCTCATAACGAGATGTAAACACAGGCAAGCCATCTTACAAGAAATACTTTGTGACTTAAAAAATAATCCATTACTCCTGACTTTTCTGTCTGACCTAACAATCTCATGACTATTATGTCAACCTTCTGGCATATAAGTTAGTCTTAATTGATCGTCCATAGCTTGACCAAAAACAGCCCTGACTTGACCAGTTGTCTTACTAGGAACGCAGCAAGCTACGATCTCAGCCCAGTGTTCAGGTTTTCTACACCTTAACCCACCTATGTAATTCCCCCACCAATGTATTCACTGAATGTACTTACAATGACATTTGTTCTCTGTGTATAAAAATAGTTAAGAGTAAAAAAAAAAAATAGTTATGGGTCCTTTTTGTTGGATCGCTCAGGGCAAAGTGAACCTGTGCTCCCAGGCTTAGGTCACTCCTATGTGGCTTAGAATAAACTGGTTTCTCATATTCCTTCAAAGCAAAGTTGTTACTCTGTGTTGACACTGTCAGTACATTCTTTTCATGTCCCATCTGGAGACCAAATAAATATCTACAAGGGAAGCTTCAGTTGTGACGGGGGCTAGGGACCAGATAACAAAGATTAGGATGCATGAAACATTAAGGGGTAAATGGGACTGAACGGGTAATAAATGCAGATTAGAAATTTGGGAACAAGGAAGGAAACGTATGAAATGTAGGGCTGTTAGAAATGGAAGCAAAGTTCAAATCATTTTTCTTTTGTTTTTAAATGTAGGCTGCATGAAGCCTGTGGGAGACCAGGTAAGGAAGATTGTGAGATACTCGTTCTCCTCTGTGAGCACAAAGGGGAAATGTATCAGGCAGGCGTGAGGACATGTTGAGGTTCCAGGGAAAGCTAACACAGCTGAGACTCAGTTGTCTACCTGAGCATGTACTAAAAGGTAACACGAGGCAGAAGAATCCTGTGTAACTTTAACTGCGTGTACCCGTGTCTGGGTGAATAAAAGCGGGATGAGCTAGAGGCTCCGAACTCCCCTGCGGTAGCGCCCAGAGCTCCCCGGCTGCCTGTGTGTTGCACTGACTCTGTGTCTCTTTGTCCTTCATCCTCAGGTTTGGCCTGAGGTCAGGGAAACAAGGTAGCAGGACTAGGTCCCTGCAAGGGGGGCACCCTGGGTGGGGAAAGCTGGGGAAGGGTGGGGAAAGCTGGGACAGGGGGACTTGTTCTCCATGGTGACCTCTGGGGCAGGGACGTGGGACCAGCAGTGCAGGCCGGTCTCCTACAGAAACCCTTATAGAAGGCAAAGGAAAAGAAATGGTAGTTACTTTTAAATGAGAAGGAAGATTCTAAATGTTTAAATAGATAAGGGAAAGGAAGTTAGGGGTACAGATCATAGCTGGAAAGAAACACTCATAAAAGAGGAGATATCCCACTCAGAAGAGACAGAATGCAAAGTACAGGTGAGGAACAAAGAGAAGGTAACAGTTGCTGTTAGTTACTGAATGCTCAGTATGTCTCAGGCAGCCTGGTGACTCTAGCACATTACTTCCCTAAGATAAGGACATCTTACTTCCCTAAGATAAGCCAGGAAGATATCTTTACTTCCCTAAGATAAGCCAGGGAGAATGAGTCCTATCAGCACTGTGAGCCCTCTTTTGATAATTAATAGTTAACTGGCACCAGTCTCTCAGGACCCAAAGACCTCCAAAGTGACAACTCCCCAGTGAGACACTCCGGTGACAGGGCTTGGCATCCTGACACTCACCTGGAGAGACGCACCCTGGGAGTTCTTTGTTTCTCAGGCTGAGCGCTTCTCGTTCCAGCTGGGATATCATGTTTGGTTCGGAAAGTTGCTGCCCTGCTTCGAAGGAAAGAGATCCAGTGTAGGTTGTGAACTGAGTCTAAGAACCAGTCCCAGCATAGTTCTGATCCCTTCTCTTTTAGGGCTTCTGTAACAGGAAGGTGCAGCTTAGGTAGTTTCCCACTTTCCATTCTGTACAGGAAAAAAAGATCTTGCACCTTGAAACGGGGGCTAAGAAGCAAATGCCCTAAAATAATGCCCTATAAGACATAGGTTTCCAGTCCAAATCCATGAATTTCCGAGGTAATACAGGATCAAGGGATACCAAGAAGTAGGTCCTGAGTTACAAGAAGCCCTTACCCAGGGAGACCAGGTTCTTGTAGTTCTCCAGCATGACTCTGCCATACAGGCTTCTCTGAGCAGGATCTAGCTGCAGCCATTCCTCCCAAGTGAAGTCCACAGCCACATCCTTGAACGTCACTAACTCCTGAAACTAAAAAGTTCCTCAGTTTTCTCAAGAGATTATGCAAAAACAAACCAACCAACCCACTGAGGGTAATGAAAAATCGAGAAGCAACAGAGAAGGGGTAGATAGAGATCTAGATGAGAAAAATGTTTAATACTCCGATATAAATGGGACAGCTACAACAAAAATAGGTATTATTATGAACAAATCAGAGGTAAATACATGAAGTGATTTGGGAGTCACAGACAGGAAGAGTATGGATAAAGGAGTGTAAGTCTTCTGGGGGCCAGTTTATATCTAGATACAGCTTATATCTAGATGTCCTCACAAAGACTCAGACACTCACAGGTGGGGCTTCTGGGAGATGATTGGGTCATGGGGTGTGATACTCATCAGTGGATTAGCCCACTGATGAGTTTATAACTTAAATGTGTTGTTGGGAGGGGACGTTGGTGGGAGCAGGTGGGTCCCTGGGGGCACAGCCTGGAATGGTGCATCTACCTCCCTCCTCCCTTAATCCTGCTGTCATGCCATGAGTTGTTTCTCTGGCATGCTGCCCTGCCTGCAACCAACCAGCAGTATAGATTGAAACCTCTACAAGGTGTGAGGCAAAATAAACCTTTCCTCCTTAAGAGTTGTGGGGGTCGGGTATTACGTCTTAGCAATGAGAAAGTAACTAAGATACCATTATGGTTTGTGTCTGCATGTCCCCCCAAAGCCTCATGCAGTCATGGGGTGGGCTTCTAGAGTTTATGATTCATTCATGGTCCAATGTTGGGATTGTGGGTGTGAGTGCTATACCCGCCCTGGAACACAATATAAAGGAGGGAAAGAGGCTTGCACTCTGCTGCTCCTCCTTTTTTGCTCTTGTTGCTTTGCTGTCTTCAGCCGCCATGAACTATTGCCCTCTGCCATGTGCCTCTCTGCCTTGGAGCCAGCTGAGTATGGATTGAAATCTCCACAAACTGTCAGCTAAATAAACCTTTCCTTCCTTAATTCTGGGTGTCGGGTATTTTGTCCGAGCAATGAGAGAAAAGTAACCAAGACAGATATCAACTTGACTTGAAAATGCCATTTCAAATTTGTATGTCAACTGCAGCCTTGTTCTCTAACCTTTATGCAGGAGCTAAGACACACTAAGCATTTAGTATCTTCTTAATGAGGGAACATAAAACCAAGTGGGTAATTATTAAAAACAACTCACATTTGTACTAAGTTTCTTACAGCCCCCCTTACATAGTTCAGATACCAACCCACTAGACTGATAGCATAAATATTGTTTCAAAGATGAGGAATTGGATAATAAAAAAGATTAACTTATGCAAGATTACACAGTTGGAACTCAAGCCCAATGTCATCCAACTCTCTATGCTCTGAGACAAGAAGGTGGTCCAGAAAAGAACCCTAGCAGTGCTCAGCAAACTACAGTAAGAGATAAAAGATTTGGGTGAGAGAAAGAGGGTGCAAGATGGAGGTTAAGGTCAAGAGTAGCAGAAGTGAAACAGAATGATCACTGAAAAGAACTGCTCAAAAGTTAGCTAATTTCAGATAAGTGGTGGAGTCAGAAGTGAGCTTACTGTGGATGACAGTATATATGAATATAAAAAATCTGTAGCAGTCATTAAATTACTGGAGTTTTGTGAAAAAAATGAGAGATAAGTACGGAAGTAATAAGTAATGGAAATGAAGTAATGGTAAAGGTCTTCACAATTTAAGGACAGAGAACATTTTAATATATAAATAGCCCAAGGGGACAAAGTAGTGGAGAGGGAACTAGACAGACAGGAAATAGAGTAGAAAATAATTTCCAAAAAAATATGGATTTTATTTCTAAGACTAGGAATTCTACATAAGTATTAACAGTCAGGCACAGAATTAATTTTTCTTTCTACCTCATTATTTTCTCCTAATTTGAATAGAAGGTCTTTATCTCAGTCTGATAAAAGCTATCTATGACAAACCAACAGCCAACAGCACACTAAATGGTCAAAATCTGAAAGCATACACTTTAAAATCAGAAATAAGACAAGGATGACTATTATCACCATTCCTGTTCAATATAGTTCTGGAAGAGCAATCAGACAAGAAATTCCCAATTTAAAGTTACACTACAAAGCTACTGTGATAAAAAACATCATAGTACTGGCAAAAAACAGACCCAAGGATCAACGGAACAGAAAAGATGAAGAAACAACTCTAAGCACACTCAGCTACCTTATCTTTGACAAAGGGGCCAAATGTCTTCACCAGAAGAAAAATGGCCTCTTTAATAAAGGTACTGGGAAAATTGGCTTTCCCCATGTTGAAAACTGAATCTAGACCCATATCTTTCACCATGAACTAAACTAAAATTGAAATGGATCAAAGATCTAAATATTAAAACAGAAACACTAAATCTGTGGATGACAGAAAAGGTAAAACTCTTGAAGATACAGGTAAACCTCTTGAAGATATATGACAAAACTTTATGAACAAAACCCTGATGACACAGGAAATATTACAAAGAATCAACAATTGGGATCACGTCAAATTAAACTTTTGGAGGGGCTGGGGATTTAGCTCAGTGGCACAGTGCCTGCCTGGCACATGCAAGGTTGTGACTTTGATTCTTGGTACTGGAAGAAAAACAAAAACAAAAACAACACAAAACAAATAAAACTTTTTTTTTTTTTTTAAAGAAGCTTTTGGTCAGTAAAATAAACCATCAACAGAAGGAAGAGACAACCTACAGAATGGGCAAAAAATTTTGCCAGCTGTTCCTCAAAGGCGTAACACCTAGAATACTTAAAGAACTCAAAAAAAATCAGATCCTCCCTCAAATTTAAAGACTCAATACAAAAAAGGGCATCTTAAATGGACAACTCTCAGAAGAAGTATAAACAGCAAATAAATACATAAAAAAATGTTCAACATCAGTGGTCATTTGAGAAACGCAAATTAAAACAACACTGAGGGAAGTGTGCTGGAGCCACACGCACCCTGCTTCAGGTGCCCCAGGTCCGGGCAGGGGGGCGAGGCAGCCGCCTCGTTCTTCCAAAGCCAGCTGTGTGCTAGGGTCCTCCAGGAGAGAGCTAAGCCTATCTGCCTAGTGCCTACAGCTGGAACACAAAAGGAGAGATTTCACCTCTCCTGGGAATCAGAAGCTCTACTTCAACACCCATGCTTTCCTGTGCTTACTGGAAGGAAACGGATTTACAACTCAATGAGCAGAAATCATCGTGTCTGCCTTGGTCAAGATCCTGGGGACCAACATGGTCATCGTCTACAAAGACATGGTCACCAAGGTGCAGCAGATCACTCTTCAGCAAATAATATCTGCAAATGTGAAAAAGGATATGATTATTTTGGAGAAGAACGAATTTTCAGCCCTCAGAGCAGAAAATGAGAAAATAAAGCTTGAACTACATCAGTTAAAACAACAAGTAATGGATGAAGTGATCAAAGTCTGAACAGATACCAAGTTAGACTTCAATCTAGAAAAGAGCAGAGTAAAAGAATTGTATTCACTGAATAAAAAGAAGCTTTTGGAATTAAGGACGGAAACAGTGGAACTGCATGCCCAGCAGGATCAGGCCCTGACACAGACAGTAAGATAGAAACTGAGGTCGCTGGCCTCAGGACGATGCTTGAAGCGCACAAGCCTGACATGATCAAGTAACTAGCAGGGTCTACATCTGCCTGCCTAATGGCAGCTCTGGGATTCTATTGCCTGTGGGTATAATAAAATGTCTACTGAAAGAGGGAAAAAAAAAACCACTGAGATTCCATCTCACTCCAGAAAGAACGGCTACTGTCAAAAAATTGAGCAATAACATGCTAGTGAGGCTGTGGGGAGAAAGGAACCCTTTTTTATTGCTGGTAGGAATGTAAACTTGTACAACCACTATGGAAATAAGTATGGAGATTCCTCAAAAAACTAAAACTAGATGTTCCTTTTGACTAGCTGTTCCCTTCCTAGATATCTTCCCAGAAGAGTTAAAATCATCATATATACATACCTATGTTTATAGCAGCACAATTTATAATAGCTAAATCTTAGAGACAACCTTATCCCTGTAAACAGATGAATATTGATAGAAAATGTGGTATTTATACACAACTGAGTGTTACTCTGCCATAAAGAAGGATAAACTTGGTAGAAAAATGGATGCAACCTTGAGACCATAATCTTAAGTGAAATAAATCAGACAAAAATTTAATTACCACATATTTCTCTTGTGTGAGAAATCTAAAGGTAAATGAGCATAATGGATGATAGTTATTGGGAAGGAGGAAGAATACGCTCAAATGGGAAGGTGGACAAGGGAAGGAGAAGCAAAGAAGGGAAAAGAAAAGAGAAGAAAAGGAAAAATATGGAAACAAAGCTTCTGTAAATGAGGGAGGAGAGGAGAAGCAGGGGGAAAGAATCAAGATATATTATGTATAGGTACAAATGCGCCACATAAATGTGATCAATGTGTATGAAAAATATGTACTAATAAAAAAAAGAGATAAGATATGGCAGACCCATATAAATAAAAAGCAGGGAGGACAGCAAGTGAATATCAAGCAAGGCAGAATACAAGCAGAAGACGTAAGCCTCTTTAAGATGGTATCACATTAGAAATAGGAGACTCCCTTTCCTTAAAAATTCACTTTTGTCTTGTTAGCTACATACATGATGCAGTAATTAAAAGCCCGAATTCAGACTATGTGCTGGTCTCCTTCAAAGCCCCAAATTCTCATCACCTTGAGTCAGAAGCCAGTGTGCCGCCGAGCGGGTCTCATCACTGTGGTTCCTGCGTTGGCCACGGGGCCACTGCACAAAGGTACAGGATTTTTAAAGAGTTAAGTGAAACAGAAACATGATTCATAAAATGTCTTTACTGTTATCCCTTAAAGTGTTTTTTCCCAAGGGCTGGGGATATAGATCAGCGGTGCAGCACCTGCCTTGCAAGTGCAAGGTCATGAAGTTCAATTCCCAGTACCAAAAAAAGAAAGCAGTAAAGCCCCCCCGCCAAAAAAAAGCCCCCTAAAATGTTTTTTCC